AGATGAAGTACTTCCTTAAAATGATAAAAAGGTTCAAGCTTTTACAATTAGAAACAAGTTCTTGAGAGAAAATGAGATAATTTAGGGTTTTTGGAGTCTAAAACTATATATAGGAGATCCAAATTCGTCCTGGTTCAATTGAATTAAACCAGGTCAAACCGGCTTAAACCGGGTCAAACCGGTTTAAACCGGTCAACTCTGAAACTTTGACTTCACCGCGGTCTTTGCTTGCCCGCGTTGATTGGCCGCGCCTTGTCAAGCTTCTTGTTCGCCTTGGTTAGCTCCCGTGGCTGTGCTTGCTCTCAGCTCGTGACCACCGGCTCCACTCTGCAACGGTGTGACCAATATATGACTGCGCCACCGTCTCCTCCAAGCCGCATCACCACCAAGCCGAAGCTCTCCTCCGTCTCCACGAGCATCTCCGTCAAGCTCCAGCCCTCGTCGTTGGCTCACCGTTGCTCATCCTCGCCGTCTCTATCGTGGTGTCCAGCTCCATCGTCCATAGCCGTCGTCTTCAGTTTCTCGTCACGAAGAAACAATGGTGGAGTTTCTATGTTTTGCACAACTGATCCTTCAATTTTCAGATATTATACTTTAACCCCAAAACTATGCAAATTGCAGAAACGTCCACTCGAATCAACCCAGAACTTTCTGATTGGGTAGTCAAACCCAAACTAATATTCCAATTTTGCAACATCGATCCCTTGGCCTTTGATTATTTACGCACATCACCCAATACTTCCCAGAGTTGCATATTTTTCCTCGAACTCAGCCTCATACGTTTAGAATGTGCATTCCAGCCCCTAATGCATACAAATGAATATCTAAATGTAATCTAGACACCTAAATGCAACTCAAAACACTAATATAATTAAGAATTAGATGCTAAAAACTATTAAAAACACTACATATCAGTACTCATAGTTCTTGTCTGTGGGTTTTGGTTGGTACAAGTGTGTGTATCCATCCTCAAACTCGCCGCAAGGTAGTCCTGTAACTGCACCAAACTCAACCAAAGAGAACCTAAACGGATTACCCCCAAAAATCGGTTAAATCTCAAACTTTTTCTTCGTCACCACTTGCCTAACAAGCATAGCGTGGCCGAGTTTCCCAGACATCGAACACCTACGTGCTGGTAGTTGTAGCAGTTTTCCAAAAGGAGACTGAAGCAACAGATCCCACTCTTCCGACCCTTCCAACACATCTCTAACGAACAGTAGAAGATCGATCGTTGAGTAGCAGTTCAACTGGCGGTCGGGAAAACGGTCCGTAGCAAATAGCCGCTTAGGGAGCTTCTCATCGACTTCGTCGCAATCGGCTCCTCCTGGAATAGAAAGGCACAAAATTAACACAGTTACTCAAATCGGACTACTTTCTCGGACCAAACAACGGCTTACCTCCAGCAATTTCTTTACCCCTTCTTTTTCTTCGAATAGACATCTACAGATCTGAAAATGCGACAACTGATTCAACATTCGAACCGTAGCCTCTTATCCCCTCTCTGTTTTTTTCCCACACGTTCTATGCTCTGTAATTCTGGGAAAAGGGAAAATTAAAAGCCCCCCAATAGTAATACAGAAAAAAAAAACACAGTTTATTTTTGTGTCTCGGGTACGCAGCCGTAAAAGAATTAAACATGTATTTGAATTTTAAATAAAAAAGAAACATCTTTTTAACCTAACTATAAGGGTACCAAAAAATATGTTAGTTACACCTTTTTGCAGGGACAATTTAAGACTTTTCACTCATAAATTGCATGTGTATAACAAAGAGAGATTAACATCTAGAGTCACTTTCCAAGAATTTATTACACTCTTGGTCACTTTAAGCTACTAGGGTAGTTTTTGAGTGGTTATTTACTCTTTTGTCCTCAACTAAACGTAAGAACAATATACTTTTTAGTTTCTTTTTTTTTTGAGTTTAATGTTTTTAAGTTTTAAACTTTTGTAAAATTGTGAGACCGACAACCACATCTTTGCTATCTTCTTTTTCTTATCTCTTTTAGATTTACCTAGGCAAAACGTTGTAGAGAAAGCCCTCCTTCCTTTGCCGTCTAATTCTCATCTTCTCAAGGGACATTATATTTGAGAAGCTGAGTATCGAATCCGCCATCGCTGTTGTTTATAAGGAAGCTGAGTGTATCAAATCCGCCGTTGCTGTTGTTTATAAGGATGCTGGGTACTGTTACGGTCTCCAAGGTAAAAGAAATTGCCTAGATATTTTCAATGCTGGTGTTGATTATGCATTTGTTTTTCTATTTTATGGTGTTGTAGTGATTTGATTGTGAAGAACTTGCTTGGATAGAGTTTCAGGTGTGTCATTCCTTTATTTTTTTTTTGGTTAAGTGTGAAATTGTACAGTCTGCTATAATATAGTGATTCTTTCAAACTCTTTTGTTGTGCAGCTTGTGCTCTTGTTGTGGATGTTTGTTATGTATGTATATGACTAGGAGATAATCCATGTATGTGTTTTATGCAGTTGCACCATAGATATAGTGATTCTTCAAGTTCCTTTGACAGTGTTATTCTCACATCTGGAAATTTTTCCATGTGTATGGGCAATATGTACACTCATGACATTATCCACATGTACTCTTTCTCTATGGACAACTCACTTTTTTATATCCACGTGTACACCTGAACCATGTGCCAACACTTAGAATCCTTGCTACTCCATACTTTATATGGTGTATGTGTACAACTTGCGATATATTAATTAGATTTGACAGGGTACATATGTTAAATAAGGATAATAGTGTATGTGTACAAATAACAAAGATATGCACACGGTTGTGAAGACGTGGGAGTGGGAGGTTGCCCATATTTGGGTTCATGAGTACAAATGGATGACTAGGTAGATGTATGTGTACACAATGTCATTGTAGGATTTCAAAGTATTTACAAGAGAAATTATACAAGAGGACGAGCAATATGGACAAACTCTAATTTTTGATGTATAGAACATAGGATTGGCAATAAAAAATAGTATGTACATTTGTTCATAGATGTACACATGTACATGTTTGCAAAATTTTATGTGTACATTAGTTTTAATTGTCCACATGTACAATGTTATACATGTGTACATTGAATATTTAAACATATGTACAGAAAAGATATGTTCACATCCATGTATATGTACAAGTTTAGAAGTTCAGTGTACAAGTGTACACACTTACGTTTTAAGAATATAATCAATGTGGATTTCAAAACATAGAATTGATACACATAAAATCTCACATAAAAAAAAAGAAGCAAAAATAAAAAATAATTTCAGACACTGGAAACATTCCTCACGTTTGGACATGAGACACCCGTAATGTTGTTAGCAGTTTCATCACCAAAGATTCAATCTCTATAGAAACCCATAAGCCTTAATAAGGCCTTGAGAAGCAAAGCCTGAAGCCATCTTATCTCACACTCTCAAATTTTGTCTCCAAGTATCATCAACTATCTAAAGCATACCAGTCCAAAGTCTATAACTTGTAAAAAAAACTGTCAAAAACTATCATTCACTACCTAAAGCTACCATGTCCAAAAGTCTATCTAGAACTTGTAAAAAGAACATTCAAAAGCTAATCTTTTGATTCACGTGTCCTGTCAAAGTTTCAAGTAATGGTCAACTGGAGAGAAACGTGTTGCTGTCTACAAAAGTTTGCTGTACACATGTACAAACATTTTGAGTAGATATATACAAATGTATTTTCAAACAAGATCGAAGATCTTAACTTCATGCTTTAAATGGTTAATCTGGTAAGTGTATGATAATAGTACAAGACAATAGCTCACACACCAAATGTAGATGCAAAATATGGTTTATTCTCCACCCAAAGACATCACATGATCCCAACAATGAGGCGTTAAACAATCAAAAGCTCCAATAGTGAGAAGTCGTAAGCTCTTGAAGACTTAATATCTCACTAATTCACTGAAAAAAATTAAAGAACAAGCAATTTTAGACAATCCATAAATCATCTAGATGATGGAACTACTGTAATTCAACAAGATAAACTATTTTTTGGTGAAAACAAGAGAAACCATGTACCAAAAAAAAAAATCTGAGATCGAGTTCTTGAAGATAAGCTTAGGTTCTGAAAGAATCTGGGATCTAAATGGAAAATATTTTTCCGTTGAGATGGAGGATGGTAAAATCTGAGATAAAAAGGGGTCTTTAACAATGGTGCTTTGAGATTCTCTTTGTTTAGATCTCTGGCGGTAACAATCAAATCAAAACAAAAAGCCCCTTTGTAAGAACATTCATCTTCACCAACCCATGTCTCAGGAACACCAGATGGAGATGGTATCTCTATTATGGCGGATTTCCAAGATTGAAAAACACCAAAACCTTTGCAGTTGTCTATTGCGTCAGGATTGGAGTTAGGTCTCTGTCGCCGTCGAGTAAAACTCCATTGGTCCGGCAAAGGAGAGCGGAGAAGAACATCTGTAGTCGGGATCAAAGATTTTGTGGAAAAATCTAGAAAAAGTGATGAGGAAGAAATCTAGTGGGAACAAATTACTTTTACAAAAGTAAAAAAATGTAAACAAGAAGGAAGAAGGAAGAAGACGAAGAAGAAACAATGGGAGCCTAATATATTTTTCTAAATCGATAGATATGTTGTGATTAAAAATTATAATAAAAACTAAGTTAATGAAAGAAATAAGAAGGATAGTATTGGAATTTTGTATAACTAATCTATATGGTTTCGTGTGATAAAGTGTTCTAGTAGTAACAAGTGACCTATTATGATATTGGAAAGATAAAAAGTGACTTCATCTGTAATATTCTCTATAACAAACTGCCTTATCATGACATAGAAACATGGAAACTGACTCCACGTGAAAATAACTATTTTTAATTAGGCCTTTAAATAATCTGATCTCAAGTTCAGTCCGGTTAGCGTCAGTTGGGTTCGGTTGAGCATCCGAGTGACTAAAACCGGCTTTGTTCAGATAAATCCAAACTTAATTCAATCCGAGAATATCTCTCCAAACAACAATGGAATGGCTAGAAAATCCAAACTTACCAGTTTAACGAGCTCTTCACCCTTCGCATATCTTCTGGATTTATGTGTCAAATCCAAACTATTCCTAAACGACGTCCGTACTGTCCATGCATCTATCATCAAATCTTCTTTCTTCAACGAGATCTTTATACAAAATCGTCTCATCGGTGCCTATGCGAAACGTGGGTCACTCCAGGATGCACGCAAAGTGTTCGACAAGATGCCTCAACGAAATGTCTACACTTGGAACACTCTTGTAACGGCTCTGGCCAAGTTAGGGTTCTTAGATGAAGCTGGTTCTCTCTTCCAGTCAATGCCTGAGCGTGATCAGTGTACTTGGAACTCCATGGTTTCCGGGTTTGCTCAGCGTGATAGGTGTGAAGAGGCTTTGCATTATCTCACTTTGATGCATAAAGAAGGATTCTTGCTGAATGAATATACTTGTGCCAGTGGTCTAAGTGCTTGCTCTAGTCTAAGTGATGTGAACAGAGGTGTACAGTTACATTCTTTGATTGTGAAATCGCCTAGTTTGTTGTCTGATGTTCATATAGGTTCTGCTCTTGTTGACATGTATTCCAAATGCGGAAAGGTGGAGGATGCTCAGCAGGTTTTTGATGAGATGGGTGGTCATAGAAATGTTGTCACTTGGAATAGTTTGATTACATGTTATGAACAGAACGGTCCTGTAGTGGAAGCTCTCAATGTTTTCCGTTTAATGTTAAGATCTAGTATTGAGCCAGATGAGGTTACATTAGCAAGCGTGATTAGCGCATGTGCAAGCTGCTCTGCGGTCAAAGTTGGTCGGGAAGTTCATGGACGTGTTGCTACAAACGTTAAGTTAAGGAATGATATAATTTTAAGCAATGCTTTTGTTGATATGTATGCAAAGTGTGGCAGAATAAAAGAGGCTAGGATCATATTTAATAGCATGCCTATCAGAAACGTAATCGCTGAAACGTCCATGATCAGTGGGTACGCAATGGCTGCGAGCACTAAGGCTGCAAGGCTCATGTTCACCAAGATGACAGAGAGGAATGTTGTTTCATGGAATGCGCTTATCTCTGGCTATACGCAAAACGGGGAGAACGAAGAAGCTCTTAATTTGTTTTGTCTGTTAAAGAGGGAATCAGTATGCCCAACGCACTATACCTTTGCTAATATTCTAAAGGCATGTGCGGATCTTGCAGAGTTACATCTCGGCATGCAGGCTCATGTGCATGTATTGAAGCATGGGTTTAAGTTTCAATCTGGTGAAGAAGCCGATATATTTGTTGGCAATTCCTTGATAGATATGTATGTAAAATGTGGCTGTGTAGAAGATGGTTATCTTGTGTTTAGGAAGATGATGGAAAGAGATTGCGTCTCCTGGAATGCGATGATTATTGGATTCGCGCACAACGGTTATGGAAATGAGGCTCTTGTGTTGTTCAGAGAGATGCTTGGTTCTGGAGAAAAACCAGATCACATTACCATGATTGGTGTTCTTTCTGCGTGTGGACATGCTGGATTAGTTGACGAAGGACGGTATTACTTTTCATGCATGACCAGAGATTTTGGTGTGGCTCCTCGTAAGGATCACTATACGTGCATGGTTGATTTACTCGGCCGAGCTGGATTTCTGGAAGAAGCGAAGAATATGATTGAGGAGATGCCTATGGAACCAGATTCGGTGATATGGGGTTCTTTGCTTGCTGCTTGTAAAGTTCATAGGAACATGACGTTAGGCGAGTACGTTGCGGAGAAGCTTCTTGAAGTAGAGTCGTCAAACTCAGGACCATATGTTCTTCTTTCTAACATGTACGCTGAGAATGGACAATGGGAGGACGTGATGAATGTACGGAAGTCGATGAGGAAACAAGGAGTCACAAAGCAGCCAGGATTTAGTTGGATAAAGATACAAGGACGTTCTCATGTTTTCATTGTTAAAGATAAAAGACATCCTCGAAAAAAGCAGATACACTCTATTCTTGATGTTCTAATAGCAGAAATGAGACAGGAACAAGATCATGCTGAAACCAGATCAATCTCGTCTGAGGAAATGAATTATTATTCATCTAGTCTTCTTTGGGACAATGTCTTGTAAGTCCATTCTGTGTTTTTTTTTAATTGAAAATTCAGGGAAATAGATATATGATAGAATCACTGGATATTTTCTCTTGCATTAATACTTTTTCTTTCACACTATCAAATAAATAAAGCATTTGAACAAACGTGTAACCCAACGTCTTGCAGAAGAAAAAACATTAATGTTACAACATGTATCAGACAAGAGTGCTCTTGAAATTTCTTTGTGAACATCTACACCTGAGAACCACATAGGAAATAAACCTGTAGAGCAAGACAAAACATAGCATGATCACAACATTTCTCCATCTGTTTTCCTCTCCATACCTTTCTTCCTTCAGTAGACTCTCCTCTGTCATCAAGCATTTTCCGATTCCATACTCCAAACACTTGCTTGACTTAGAGAACTCGTTTATCAAAAACCCTTCAAAAGGGTACTTGAACAGAGAGATGTAGTGCATAAAAATCCAGTAACCAGGGATCTCATTCTTCGATATGAAGTAGCCGGAGAAGAGAAAGAAGGAACCCATCACACCGGAAATCACTGAGTTCCCAACGATGAAGTTAGGAACCAGTGCACTAAAGCACACAACCACTGAGTTTGCTGTGTAGAGGACCAACCAAATAAGGAGCAGAAAGTGCAGAAAGGCCATGAAGTTAGGGTTTAGCCCCACTAGCCAATACACTGGGATGGAGAAAAGAATCGCTAGAATGAGCAGAAACGGCAAGTAAACAAGTCCATTTGCGACGGCGTATGAAGAAACTCTGTAGCTTCCATTTGAGGTTTCCTTCATGAGAATCTCTCTTTCTTGCAAAAATATAGGGAGTGCCTCTATTGTTGAAGTTAGCAGGAAAGTCAATATGAATGCAAAGAGGCCTACTCTTTCTCTTGCGCCTTTTAAATCTTCTTTAAGATTGTGGAAGATCAGACCGAGAACAATTCCTGAACCTAACATCTGAACCGTCCTGCATGCAAACAGCTCCTTGGTTCTGAAAATGTTCTTGGAGAACCTATGAGTTAGTATCATAGTTTCTCCTAGTCTCGAATTCGCGAAATCTCTTTTGAGATCTGTGCCTATTTTCATCGTTCCTACATCAGCGACCTTTGATTGTTGAAACAGCTGTTGTAGTGTGAACTTGCCACTTCTGCTCTCCCCTTGACTATCTTCTGATCTCTTCTCTTGAGATGTTAGGACAAGAGCTACTCTTCTGCTTTGCGGTTGTAGCCTTTGGTGCTTAGTGATGGTTTCGATTGACTCAATGGCGAATTCAACTATATTTTCGTGGAGAGGAGGCTGCAAACCGTTTGACCTTAAGTAGAAGCCAAGCTGATCCACCGAGCCTTGGTTCAGTGTCGAGCCATTGGCCAACAAAAGAACAGAATTGAACAGTTTGACTATGCGAAATCCCGGTTGGTGGATACTCAAAATTATTGTCCGTCCACGTGTTTCAGCCATGAGTTTGAGCATGTCTATGATCTGCAGAGCACAAGTACTATCAAGACCAGAGGTTGGCTCATCAAGGATCAGAACTTTGGGGTCATGAATAACTTCAACTCCTATAGAGACACGGCGTCTCTCTCCACCTGATATCCCTCTGATGCTATCATCTCCAACACGAGCCGTGGCTACAGCTTCGAGACCAAGCTCACGCACCAACGACTTAACCCGAGATCTCAGTTCCTCTGCAGGGAGCTTTAAACGCAGCTTGGCACTGAACAAAAGGGTTTCCTCCACAGTAAGCAAAGGAAACAGAGTGTCCTTCTGAGTGACATAACCAGAGATTTTCTTGAAATTAGCTCGATCAACCGGTCTCTGGTCGACAAGAACTGATCCGGTTTGAGGGATGAGTCTTCCAGCTAAAATTTCAAGCAAAGAAGACTTCCCTGCACCACTTGGACCAACAATGGCAAGAATCTCCCATGGTCTGGCTCTGCATCTCACTCCTTTTAGTACGTGCTTAACTTGCTTGCAGATTCCATCCTCCAGCTTCCATGGCTCTTCTTCTGTCTTAACCTGTTGATCAGCTTCCACCACCGGTTTCCTTGTAAAAATTCCGAAAGGATTAACATTAATCTTCCGTTCAGTGATGTTGTAATCAATATCTAAAGCTTCAATCTCACATCCTTCCTTCGCCATTGCACTCTTTTTCTCTTTCTCTGAGTCTCCAATGCTTCAGAAAAAGTACAATACCAATTATTTGTCTTATGTAGTTATTCTTCTAATTGTTCTATTACTAACTTTTGATAAGTATTTATTGTGTTCAAAGACAGCTTGGTTTTCTGTAGCTTCTATTGGATTTAAGTGAAGTCGTATGTTATGGTTCACGGGCCATTTGTTTTCTTATATCATAGAGAGAGAAACAGAGAGGTTCACATGCAATTGTTCTTCTCACTCTGCTGTAACTTTCCCACGATATGAAGAGTCACGTGTTGGTCTTTGCATATTTTATAGAGAAATTGCGGTGAATAGAGAGTACCAACGAATTTTGTTTAAAAAAGGTACCAAATAATTAAAGAGTTGGTTACTTAAAGACACATTTTGTCTTTTCTTTGCACAAAAAGACACATTGTGCTTGCAAGGCACATTATGTTGGAGTGTAGTGTTTGATTAGTCATTTTTGCCCTCTGTTTGATAAACCAATGTTGTCTCTGGTTAGGGAACCAGTTCGACTTTAAAAAGAGTTTGGTTTACTACCTTTTGTTTGACACCGTTGAATGAGCTGAAGACATTTTTAATCGGATGGTGATGGTTGCATAGTAAGTGAGCGTTGGGATTGAGAGGGACGTGACTTAAATGCATCCTCGTTTTTGTGTTTGGAAACCTAACAGAGAGGATTTGTTTCTGGGGTTTGAGGAAGGAGGCAAGTAGGTCAAATTCTTTTTTGTGTTTCTTGACCACAACGTGAAATCGAAAAGTTTGAAGAACTAACTACTCCTTTTATTTCTGTTTTTGTAGGTTTGCAGGCGATTTCAAGGCTATGGAGGAGCAATGCTTGGTGATGTGCGGCGACTGGGTTTGTGGACATGGAAGCAAGTGGGATTTTGTGGTAGACAAACAGGAGATGGCGCGGCTTGTTCCTGTGTCAGAAGGGATGACAAAGAAAGAACTTCAAGTTGGTGTGTTGAGGGAGTTTGGTAAGGAAGAGAATGTGTGGGAACCTGTTCTTAGTTACTGGGTTCCTAGTAGTTTGGAGTTAGAACCGGGAATTAGAACACCTCCTGTCCAGCTTACAAGTGATGGATGTGTCAAGTATTTCCTGCAGCATTTAAGGGTGATGGGAAAATGAATCTTTTTGTGAGGTTTGAGCAGAAGATTAGAGCTTGTGAAGCGAGCCAGAATCTTGACCGCTCCGGGATTGGGTTTGTCACGCCGGTTGCTTTTGGACCAAAGCATTCATCAAAAATTAGGTCTGGTTTCTCTGAGGAGGGGTACGCTTCAAATAATGTTTCGAAAGCTAAAAATGTCGACTTTGACAATGTGGAGTTTGAGAGAGCTGAGGCAGAGTTCGAAATTGTAACCAAGACTGGGAAAGGTGAGGCCTTTATGGCTAGTAGTGGAAGGAAGTCTGGGAAAGGTGAGGCTTATATGGGTAGTAGTGGAAGCAAGTTTGTTGAAGGAGAGGTTTTGAGCAGTAGTGGTGGGGAGGAGGAACCTGGAAGAGAAGAAATTGATGACAGAGACGTTCGTCCTCGAGGGTATGACAAAGATTTCTGTAGTGCATTACTGAACTGTGACTATCTAGGTTCCAATGCTGTTAATGTGATATACAATGAAGACAAGATTGTGGATGGTTTGACCAAGGAAAGTGGACCTCGACGATACACTTGCACAACTAATGATGCTTTTGACCATGTCGTTGAGGTTGGTGGTAGTAGTAGCGGTGTCAAACTACGGAAAGATGAAGACTTTGGGAAGCAGAATCCGTGGCTCTATGGCGTGGATGGCCATGTTGGTGTGGAGAGGCAGCGTAGGGTGTCCACAAGGAAATTAGATGAAGTTGATGATGAAGAATTTGATATCCCTCCACTCTTTGATGATACTAGCTACGCTGCGGCAGAGATTCCGGACATGGATTTGGATGAAAGGGATGGGAGGATCTATGTAGGGAAGGTCTTTGGTAACAAGGAAGATTGTCAGATATCTTTGGCAATATATGCTATTAAGAATCAATTTCATTTCAAGCAGACAAGAACTAAAATTGATTCCTTCGTAGTTGAGTGCCCCGATGAACATTGTGATTGGAGGGTTACAGCTCACGAGATCAAGGGATGTGGCTATTATGAGATACGGAAAGCTCAACTGGATCATCGTTGCCCAATTGAGTCAAGACAGGGGTATAAGAGCAAAGCAACATCAAAGGTTATTGCAGCAGTTTACAAAAGTAAGTTTGGGGAACATGGTAAAGGACCAGTGGCGTCTGAGTTGCAGAAGTTGGTTCTGGAGGATCTAAGGGTGACAGCATCTTACATGAAGTGCTATCGGGCGAAAGAGAAAGCTATCTTTGGCATTCGTGGATCAGAGGAAGACTCCTACTTGAAGCTGCCAGAGTACTTACACATGTTAAAACTTGCTAATCCCGGGACTGTGGCTGATTTGGAGACTGAGGTAGATGAGGATGGAGATGAGCGGTTTCTTTATATGTTCCTTGCATTTGGGGCGTCCATAGATGGGTTTAATAAACTACGTCGTGTGCTAGTGATAGATGGTACACACCTAGGAGGGAAATACAAGGGTGTGCTATTGACTGCTAGTGGACAGGATGCAAATTTCCAAATATTTCCTCTAGCTTTTGCTGTTGTAGACAGTGAAGACACTGAAGCATAGACGTGGTTCCTTCAGAAGGTTGAACGAATATTGGCTGATTCTCCTACTCTGGCTATCATATCTAATCGTGCAACGTCTATATCAAATGCTGTGAAATGCATATATCCAAGTGCTTAACATGGGGCGTGCATTGTCCATTTGGCAAGGAACGTCAACTCGAGGTACTCTAGCAAGCATTTGGCAAAGATGGTGACAGATGCTGCAACTGCATACAGAGTACGGGATCATAGAGAGCTTTACGGTAAGGTTCGAGCCACAAACAGTGGTTGTGGTGTTTATTTGGGGAAAACAGGTGTTGCTCACTGGTCTAGGGCAAACTTTCCCGGCGATCGCTACAACATAATGACTAGCAATATAGCTGAACAGCTGAACAACGCTTTGGTGGAAGGGAGGACGTCGCCAATAATGGAATTGGTAATATTCATTCAGAGGATGATGACGAGGTGGTTTGCTGCAAGGAGAAAGAAAGCGGAGAAGCATAGGGGTATAGTTAGCGTGGAGGTTGATAAAGAGATGACCAAAAACATGGCCACAATGAAAGGTAGTAAAGTGAACACGGTGTCTAACTGGACTTGTGAAATTGTGGGAAAGTTTGGAAGAAAGGAGCGAGTGATGCTAGCTGAAAAGAAATGTGATTGCAAGTATTTTGATAAGCTACAAATCCCATGTGGTCACGCTATGATTGCTGCAGACAGTTTGGGAATAACATATGAATCATTGGTGGGTCACTGGTACAAGACAACAACTTGGAGGGAGATGTACGCTGGTATCATTAATCCGGAGGGAGATCCAAAAGATGTGGATGTCCCTGAACATGTTAAGAAGATGATGTTGATGCCGCCTTTGACGTCGAGGCCAGCTGGGCGTCGTAGGAAGAACCGGATCCCATCAACCGGTGAATTCACGGTATGTAGGTCATGAACTTAATGTTTGGTCCCAGAAACCTAATGTGTTGTGTGGTTAGTTCAGTCTTTAGCTGCTGAAACTTGAGTAATCCTGGAACTTAATGTGTTGTGTTTAATATATGGCAGGTGTCTAAGAAGACAAAGCTGATTCCTAATAGGTGTGGAAGATGTCGTGGTGTAGGACACATCAGGACCCGTTGCAATGAACCCATATAGCGAAGGAGTGTGTTTTCTTTTCAGTCTTCATTAGTGGGGTGGCACCCAAACGGAGGAAAGACTGTTTTGTTATCGGAAGATATGAAATACTTCATGTTGAAGTGTTTAATTCGGATTAGTATTTTGAGACTATGTCATCTGATCAAACAACTTTGAGTGTTTTTGTTGGATTTTGTTATTGTTATTGAACAAAGTTTGTGCTAAATTTCTTTCCAGAGATTGGTTGTTTGTTATATTTTAGCGTGGATATCTGGTGTGCCTAGATTTCCTTTGAAAGATGTTTGTTCACATAGGTGAGATTGTGGGTATGATTGAGTGGTTTTAAGGTTAAGGGCCATGACGTTAAGGTTCTACATTCTGCTTATGACAATGTCTAGACTCATTCTGCTTGTGTCAATGTCTAGACTGTATATATGATCATCAGAATGTGTTTAATCCTGTTAGTTAATTAGTTGTGGATGTGGACATGAACCGCGAACACATAATTATCATACCAAACTTATCGTTGAAAACTCTTACAATGCCCTTGACAGAGTACACTAAAGCTTAACAACTAGAACTAAAAGGATTACATTCGCCTCAACAGATTACAATCCGATCCATCCGTACAAGCAGTTGATACAATATTTAGAGGAGCTTCCAATAAAGGCATGCGGTAGCTCCTACGATAGCAACGGCAACTGCAAAGTTGTGACCATGTCCATTGTTGATGAGTTGTGCTGTGTTAGAACTGAGAGTAGCATCCATGTCATCTTTGAGTTGTCTGGAAGCTTCAACCATAGCTTCCTCCATTTTCAACATGTGTTCAGCGACCTTAGAAATCATGTGAACCTCGAGAGTATCTAGCCAAGTCTTGTGTGAGTCAAGCTGTTCAACAACGGACTTCAAGAGGGACTTAAAGTCGTGGACGAGATCAGAGAGTTTAGCTTCCACCATTCTAACTTCATCACGTATTGCTCCGTCTTCCCATTTGAAGAGGTGGGACTCGGATTTCCTCTGATTTAGGGGGATAAGAGAAGAAATATTAAGAATTGAAGAAGTGATGTCGTAATGTTAAAGAATATGGGTTAAAGAAGGACCTGTAAAGAGATTTCGCAACGGTAAAATCTGCGAAATGGGTTCTCCTTTGTGTTTGACCCCCAGATGGTGAGACCTTTTCCACACCAACATTTTTTGGGGATGCCGTATACAGACCGTTTGGACGAGATCCCTAACCCAGAAGACGACGAGCTCGACATGATAAAACAGAGGAGATGTTGCTCGCAAGAAGAGAGGCGGAGAATAGTTTCAGATCTGTAACCCTAATTTAGAGATGCGATGTTCATTTCGTACTTATAGAGAAAACCGGTTTAGTAACCAAACCGGTCAGTATGTACATTAATGTTGTAATTGTGGATGGTTTGAAATATGTTAAATTTTTGATTTTCCAATAAAACAAGAAAGGCAAATATGAAACAAACTTAGAACATGAAAAACAGTCATAGTTGATGTCTGCATTTTCCAACATGAGGCAGGAAAAATTCTACAAGATAAAGCCGAAACAAAAGCCTAGTGGCTCGCAACAAAAAAGGTTTGGCAGTCATACGAGCATACAAAGCATATCACATAATTCAAAGTTTTAAGATAATAGTAGAGCTGTAATGGAGTAGAGTAGTGATCAAGGGAATGTTGGAGCGGGGTAAGCAGGTAGGACAATGGTTTGGTAGACATCCATGGCGTACTGTTTCCGTAGATCATCAACAATGCTGTCTGTGATTCCTGCCATGCCTGGGTCTGGATCATTGTAAGCATGTAGCTCCATGAACTTGATGCTGACCGGTCCACAATCACCGCTACGCTCGTTTATGTAGTGACCTTCAATCCTTTTCCAATAAAAAGGCTTCAGACCACGAAACTAAGTTTGTTGTGGTTTGGCAACCTTCTTGACGAGGTATGGAAGTGCAGTTAGAACCGGCTCCATAAACCTAGCAACCTTCTTGTCAGAGTTCAACGTTGGTAATGGGTCAAGAATCTCAACGTATCCCATGTCCAGGTTTATAACAAGCCCCACCCAGTGTCGGTCTTCCCAAATCATAGGAGTGTACACTGTGATCACATCATCCATCCACTTCTCCCCCGGCCTGAGCACCAACTCAGTGAGACGCTTATCCCATGTGAATCGGTCTTTCCTTTTCAACGGCTTGAACCTCTTCCATATCTCCTGAATACCTGACGTTAGAAAGGGTGTGGTGAAGGTACTCTTCTCTGTCTGAAGCAGTTCTATGTGCCTTCCAGAGAGCATGTACATCAATATTTCCATATGCTGCAAACCAGATGTGTCGTAAATTTAAACAACAAACGACATTTTATTGAAGAAGGACAAAAGTAAAACTAACAGAAATGAGTGCATCACTTACAAATGTAGTGATCCAGTTCTGGGGCTCCGCTATTTCAAGGATGAATTTGTCAGAGAAGTCAAATTTAGATGGAGTGATGTGAAGCCTGTAACAGTGTTATAGCTTGAATGATGCATTGGCAGTAAATGATTAAAAGGCATTGTTAACTAAGTGAGGATGTCACTAACGCTTGCTTCTTGGATTGAAGAACGGAGAAGAAGACTTCCCACAGAGTCTGTGGAAGCGGAGCAAATAGTGACCGGACTGGATCAGGAGCTTGTTTCAAGAGTTCTGCAGCGAGCTGGCATTCCTCAGCTGATGGCTGATGCATTGGAGTGGGCCTCGCCGGGGAGGAGTCGCTCACGTCAACAAAATCCTCCTCTCGGGGTTTTTCCTACACATTTTTGTTTTATAGGATATAAGGATGGATTGCTATATAAGTTAAATGGTGAGAAATCAATCACTACCTGGCTCTGATCAAAGATAGGAGATGAAAGTGGTTTTGATGTAGCGGTAGCAGCGAAGGCATTGACAGAGTGGGCATGTTCAGCGAAGCCGCTGCTCTTATTTGGAGAAGTATCGGTTGTAATTTGGTGTAGTGGTGGATCTCGGCGAGACGACGTGTCGTATCGGGGAGTATTCAGTGCAGAAGGATCAACATTATTCAGTGGAGAAGGCTCAGGACTGATGGGCTCGAAGATTTGAAGACCTTGATATTGGAGGTGGTGAAAAGGGAGGCTGTTAGGATGATCAGCTGCATCGTAGATGGTGGACCGGTAAATGATAGATGGGGACTTCGGAGTCATCAACCAATCCGGTGTGCCAGATGGGGAAGGTTGGAGCTGTGAAGTTTTTTCTGGGGCGAAGTCTTGTGGTGAGTTGCTGTCGGTTCTTTTGTTGTTGGGCGAGTTGTGGCTGTGGGAGCAGTTGTCGTCAGTCATGTGGTTGGAGGAGTTGTGTTCATTAGGGTTGTGGATGGGTGAGGTGTGTTCACCGTCATTGTGTTCAGGCGGATTGAGTCGGTTACTGGGGAACCGGTCTGTCTTGAACAGACGCCGTGGTAGACCGTTGTCAGGTTTTTTTTTTCCTACAAGGACATACAAACTCACAAATTCAACCGAATAGATAGAAGACGGTAATAGTAGGACTTTTTTCCATCTTATTGGTCAAGAAATAACACGAATCTAAACACGAGCCAAAACTAGAATCTAGAACTTCATCGAGCCTTAAAAAGACGAAACACTTTGGTGGGCGAAAACCCTAGATTCGAATCTTGTATGTGTTTTAAAACAAAGCACAAGTTCACCGCAAAGACGAGAATGGAAACAAGGAATGGAGGATTACCTCGCATGTTCAGCGTTTGTTCGCGCCTTCCCAGAATCTAGGGTTAGTCGCCGCCGCCGGGAGAGGTGAGAGGAAAATGAGAGAGTGAGGAAAAAGGGTGAGAGAATCAGCCTAGGGTTAGTCGCCGCCGTCGGAAGAGGTGGGAGTAAAGTGAGAGAGTGAGGAAAGAGGGTGAGAGAATCAACTTAGTCGCTGCCGTCGGGACTAGTCGTGAGAGGAAAATGAGAGAGTGAGGAAAGAGGGTGAGAGAATCAATAGATTAAATGAAATGGTTCGGTTTGGTATGAGTTGGTTTAGAGAAATTCAGGTCCGGTTTGGTTTAATTCAAGATAAGGACATCAATGTCTTTGACTAGACAAAAAGAGTCCATCAAGCACAATGTGCCTTTCTATGAAAAATAAAACTCAAAATGTATGTAGGAGCGTAAAAAAATCATAATTAAATAAGTGAAATTGCATTATGTACACACAATTTTTCCATAATTAAATCAGTACCTTAAGTCCTACACCAAGTTGCCTTTATTGATAGACACCAAACTTGTACCATACCAGTTTGCTAATTTCAATCTTCTTTTTCGATTTTAAGCCAATTCATCCAAATAATTATGTAGCAATTCCATAATATTTAACTCAACAAAAATGTTCCTACCACGGTGCTCATATTTTTTTTGTAAGGAAAAAAATACATTGCATAAATTCCCAGATTCAATTCTCGTTAGAAAAAAACTATTTATACTGATTTAACTTTTAATAAAGTGGTGAGATGACACTTTCAGTTACACTTAGTCACCAATATTAATCACACTTCTCGCCTTGCGTGATGAGCATACTTCTTTTATCTATTTTGAGCTTTTTTCATATTAGTTAAAAGGATCTCCAACTTTTTCATCATCTCTTCTACAATTGTAGGTATGAACTCTCTTCTTTCTCCAACTTCGGTCCAGCATAATGATGTTTTGCATAGCCTACCACAAAATGTCTCATATGGTGCCATGCCTATGCTAGAATGATAGCTGTTGTTGGAGGAGAATTTGATTAATAGCAAATGCTTTTCTCAGTTTCCCGCCCAATCCAATTTACACATTTGCATCATACTCTATGGTGCAAATGGTCCTTTCAGTTTGGCCGTCTGTTTCTAGGTGATACTCGGTGTTTATGAACAACTTAGTCTTCAAAATTTCTTGTAACGCCTTCCGAAAATTTGAGATGAATCTAGGATCTTGATCGGAGATAATACTCCCTCCGTTTCAATTTAATCCATGTTTAAGAGAAAATAATTTGTTTCAAAAAGATATATATTCACATTTTCAATGCATCATTTAATGTTAAATTGTAAACTTCAAAACATTTATTAAAATCCTATTGGTTAAAATTTACGGGGAACAGTACATTACAAAAAATAATACATTGGTAATTTAAATTCATAAATTTTCTTAACATGTATAAAAAATACTAAAACATGCATCCTATTGAAACGAAGGGAGTATATGTTAGCACATCATTCAACTTCACAATCTAGTCTATGTACATCTTTGCCAATACTTCTACCTTATCGGTTACCTTCATCGGTAACAAGTGCACCACCAGCGTTGCGTCAGGATTGTCTTTTCCGGAATCCTTTTCCGGTAAGTTACCCTGCTCGGTTCTGGGACGATCCGTAGGAGCGCCAAAGTCCAGCCTTCTTCCGCGGATCTTAGTAGTTCCGCGGGGGCGAATTTCTCGGGTTTTTGCGGTTAGGGTTTCCACCTGTTTCGCGAGCGAACCGATGAGCTTTTCCTGCTCTTCCAATTTTTTGTTAAACTCGGAGAGCATCTTCTCGAGCGTTGGCCGCAGACGCTCCTTGTGGTGGTGTTGTTTCAACGTTATCGCGTTCGTCGCGAGTTTGGTTGTCACCAGTCATCGTTTCTTCATTGGACATGTTGCGGCTTCGGTGTAAGATAGATCCGACTTCCCCTCCTTCTAGCGCCAAACTATGGGAACCGAAATCCACCTACTGTCAAATAATCGTAAATAAGGAAACTTCAGAAAAACCATAAGTTTCCAGAGGAACCGGCTATCTGTAGAACCGCACAACGAATATTAAGAAAACGATGAATTTTAAAATTAAAACGAAAATAAATGAGATTGAAAGCAAGAAGGTTCTTATTCCGAATCTGCGTAAGAACTGGTACAAAAGAGAGGCCTAAGCTGCGAGAGCCGTCGGCAAAATCCTTAGAAGTCTAAGAACTAAAACCCTAATTGAGACGCAGCTCGCTAACAGAAAACAGAAATATTCCTAATTGCTAAATTAGGTGGTGAGACCTCTGAAAATCGTCCCTCTTGCTTCCGCCCTAGACCTCCTACTTATATACTCCTCGCCTTGGCCATCCGGTATTTCCATTTCGCCCAGATTTGAATATATCGGGAGTTTTCCATTTTTCTCGATCCTTCCTTTTCTTCCGCGGAAATCTTCTATTTTTCTTCAAACTTGACTTTTATTTCCCTCCTGCGAGTAAACCGTCAAAACGTTATCGAATCTGCGGGTTAGATTCCACTAAGATCGTGAGATGGGTTTTTATCGCGTTTTAGGTCCTTCCGGGCCGTTTTGCGATAAATCCGTTTTCCGACTTTTTACGGGATCGTTTCCCGATCTGACGTCGTTTTTAATAAACTCCTCGAGCTAACCGTAAGGTTTTACGATTTACTCGACTTTTTAATTAAAAACGCATTTTTACGATTTACTCGACGTTTTTATTAAAAACGCGTTTTTATGATTTCGACAAGAAATCTCGAATAAATCGTATGTTTTAGGCAATGTTCGGTGTTTCGTTTAACCGTCGCCGTTTTATCGAGTTCTTATCGTAAAACTCGAACGATAGGTCGGATCGAGATGGAACGGGAGATGTTTGGGCCGTGGTTTAGAATGCGACCGTGTCGAAAGACGTAAGTTTCGAATCGAGAATGCGGGAGACCGAGGCTCGGGACGTCCTGGAAGTTTCTAGTTCGCCCATCGGCGAACTAAGCCGGGCCGGCTTAGTTCGCCGATGGGCAAACTAGTCGAGTGATCGTAGTTCGCCGATGGGCGAACTAGTCGAGCATCTCCTAGTTTGCCCATCGGCGAACTAAGCCGGTCGAATGATCCTAGTTCGCCCATCGGCGAACTAAGCCAGCTCAGCTTAGTTCGCCCGTGGGCGAACTAGTCGTGACTAGTTCGCGTTTTACGGCTGTTTCAGTTTTTTGCGGTTTCGTAAAACGATTCTCGAGTTTTATAAAACGATCTTCGAGTTTTATAAAACAATTTTTCGAGTCTTATAAAACGGCTTCTCGAGTTTTATAAAACGATTCTCGAGTTTTATAAAACGATTCTCGAGTTTTATAAAACGATCTTCAGGTTTTATAAAACGGCTTCTCGAGTTTTATAAAACAGCTTTTCGAGTTTTACAAAACGGCTTCTCGAGTTTTATTAAACGATTCTCGAGTTTTATAAAACGATTCTCGAGTTTTATAAAACGATCTTCGAGTTTTATAAAACGGCTTCTCGAGTTTTATAAAACGATTCTCGAGTTTTATAAAACGATTCCTCGAGTTTTATAAAACGATTCTCGAGTTTTATAAAACGATTTTTTGAGTTTTATAAAACGGCTTCTCGAGTTTTATAAAACGATTCCTCGAGTTTTATAAAACGATTCTCGAGTTTTATAAAACGATTTCTCGAGTTTTACAAAACGATTCTCGAGTCTTATAAAACGATTTCTCGAGTTTTATAAAACGGCTTCTCGAGTTTTATAAAATGGTCTGCGAGTTTTATAAATGACTTTGAGTTTTATAAAACGACTCTTCGGGTTTTGTAAAACTATTCCTTTTGTATTTTTGCGGGGAGTTTTGGCTATTAATTCCGTCGTACCGATTTTGACCCCAACAATCCTCACTGGTCACCTTTCTCCTTCAATAAAAAACAAAGTGCTTAGTTATCCAATTAAGCTACTATCTTATTTTTAATGTATCAATAGCTCATTATGTTTAGCTTCGTATTTTTATCTTCAGAAAATTTATCTTCGTGAATAAATTACTAACTCATAATAAATTTTTTAAAATAAATTATTTGAATTATTTACTTCAAAATACTTTTTTCTCATGCAAACGAGGTATTACAGTTACTCTAATTCTGACACAGAGGATGAAGATAAGGGCAAGGGTGTTGATCGAAACCCAACCATCCGTATCGCACTACAAGAAAAAAATATGTTACCGACTACAAAAACAGTAGGTAATTAGTAGCTAAAACCAGTTTACGACCGTATAGCGACTGAAAGGTGTAGTCGCCAAATAACGCATTGCTAATTGTATCCATCGGCAATCAGTCGCTAAATAACGACTTAAGACTTTCTTACAACTAGATAAATTAGTCGACAATTGGTCGTGGAACAATCATAACCAATAATGACTATATTCAGACCGTGTTACGTCTAGGCTACGACGATTGATCAGTCGTCAAAGGCAATCGTTAATCAGCCGCAGGTTAGTCATTAATTTAGCGACGCTTTAGTGACTACATATTTTACTCAGTCACCATGAAGTCCTTAACGTTGGCGACGTTTTGGCGACTGATTGGTGACTAC